GGCCACGAAGATCGGGAAGTATAGGAAAATGAAGGGTCTGACAGAGCCTCCTAATTGGAAACAATTGTACCAGGAGCACTTTATCCCCTTGTCTAAGCACGAGTTGCTGCAGTATCTCCTACGGGACTTTCACTGCACTCTCTCTGAAGAATTTGCTTTCCGTGATTTTGCATACCAAGTAGACTTCCACATTTTGAACCAGTATAATCACGTGTTAACCCAGATGCAGGAGTTATATCACTCCATCCAACCGGATCCTGATTCTCTCAACCAGCCTCCACATACTGATCTCCAGCGCCAGCACAAAGCACAGGAAGTCTTCAGTATTTTGGAATCCCTACTAAACCAGGCCAACTTCTCGCTTCTGTCGGAGGAAGTTGTGGCTTTTTCCTTGGCCGCGCAGCACCGGCAGGACATCGTCAAGGTGAGGGTCGACTTGGACCAGTATGCCTTCATTCGGTTCTGGGCCCTGGGCCAGTGTAAGGGGAGGATCCCCAACAAGGGGATAACGGATTTTTACAATAAGTTGCCATCTGGAGAAAGGCACTATTTTAAGCGGGTGGTGCTAGCTGCACAAACCAAGGAGAACCAGATAGTACTCAAGAGTTTCAAGGACACGCCTCTGGATTGCCTGGGATATTTGTTGCCCGGGGTGAAGACACAGTTGCCCAAATTTCAGTTAGTCCTGCTCAATTTCATGGTTGTAATGTCGGGTCTGGCTGCTTTCATCAACGTGGGCTTGGAGGCTGCTTCTTATCTCCATATGGCTACCCCCCTGTTCCTGCTGTTCTTTATTGCAATCACGGGACACCGGACGTTCAGGATAATCTCTCAGCAACGTAGGCTAGATAATCTGAATCTGATTCGCCTGCTTTATTACCTTACCGCCTCTACCAATTCCGAGTTAATCACTACATTGGTGCAGAGAGCGCAAGAAGAACACACCAAGGAAGTTCTGCTGGCCTACAGCTTCCTGAGAAGGATGGAGGATGTGCCTTCAGAGGACCGCGCCTACTGGCTGAAGAAAAATGTGGAGAGCTGGCTCTTGTTGCGCCTAGGCCGCGAAGTGAATTTCAATGGGGAGCGAGCACTGGAACACCACAACGTTATTCCTGCCAACATGGCCTTGGGACCCCTGACTAGCCTTTTTAATAAACCTAACCCTCCACTGGATGCCTCAGGGCCCCAAATCCCAGAACCCTCATCAGATCCAGCACTCCGGAGAATGAGCCACTTGTCACCTCACAACCCCTTCCCTGCTGGGCTTTCGTCTTGTGACCAAGGGCTACACTCTCGGCCCACGGATGAAGAAATAGTCAGTGCAGAGGGGATTCCAGAGGATAGAGAGAAATAAATGTTACCCAAGATTTCCCACAATGTTTCTGCCACCCTCTGTCTTTTGCGGAAGGGAGCAGGGAACATACCTGTTCCCCTCCCCGATAGCCTCCTATTCCCTTCAAGTTCTATTACTGGAAGAGGTCAGTTGACCCATTCTTAGAGACGTTAGTTGTTTTTAACGTACAAAATTACCCTCCCCCTAAGTAGATCTGATGACCTCAAGTTTCTTTCAAGTTTTTAATGTTCCTCTCCAATTAGACTCCTAAGGCAATCCTTAAAATGAATTCTGCTCAATAGATTAAAATACTTGCGAACTTTCCATCAATTCAGAATAAAGCAAAGGGATGTTTTAATGAACAGTGTTCAGATGAGGCAGCTAATGGAAAGAAAAGCCTCTGAAAACACCCCTAAGGTAAAAGAAAAACAAATTTATCAGCATTGTCAAAGTTGCCAATATTCTGGGTAGAAATACCATTGTTCTAGTTAAGATCAAATAAGCAGCATTCCTTATTGGTTTTCATAAAATTAAACACCTAATTTCTTTTACAATCATGGAGATTTGGACTACTTTCGTGATCAAGGGATCGAGCACTAGTGATTTCCTCTGTTGAAAGGGTAATAATAACCAAGATGGGAACACTTGAGGCAGGTCAGCATCACAGTAGTACATTATAAAGTGATCATTTACTTGATTCTGCTTTAGCAACAATGATCAATGATCAGACAAACAAAGAAATTACTGGATTTTAGTCTAGAGAAATTATCAATCATAAGTTAGCTTTCCTTTTACAAAAGTCCTGCTGTAAGTGAGTAATTTTGAGCTTCCAAAGTGCAGGGGTCTGTCGTTTGCTTCATTTTGTTTCCTTGGTACGTAGTATGGCCTGACACATAGTAGGCCCTTGATAAATGCCTTATTGACTGATTGACTGACTGAGAATTAAGAAGCATGCTTGTTATGGGACAAAAATATATGTAAATCATCTTGAAATTTTTTAATGCTATATAAATATCAGTTACAATTGATGATGAAGTCCCAAAATGATGCTTGTCCTAATAATTGATTAGAGAAAATAAATGAGCTTTAGTAAAATGAAATTGTATCGTATTGTAAATTGTAATTGTAAATGATCAGAATATGTGTACATATATGTATATACACACATACATGACACACACAAAATATATATGCATGAAAACAATATATGCATGTGTATAAGTACATGTTTATATATATACACGTATGTCTGCATCATAAAGATAAGTGAGAGTTTCATGTGTGTAAATATCTCAAAGAGAAACTGCTATCCCCAAAGTCCTAAAGTCTCAGTGTAGCGGTAAGCCCTTAGAGTCTAAAAAATGTTAGTGCTGTGTTAAGCTACTTCTAATAGCTCAACTGTGTTCAAAGATTTTAGGGACACCCTGCAAATGTACACATACACACACACACAAATGTGTGTATACACATATAGAATCAGAACCTCTGATTTTAACTCTTCTTGTGTGTGGATCTATTACCACTGATGACAGTTTGGTGACTTTTCTGTAGTTTAGAAACTTAGAGAGTTAGCTGCAGCTGCTGAAAGGTTTGGACTTTTCCTTGACTACAAAGGTAATATGTTTCAGAGGCAGAAATTGAACTCAGACCTTTCTGACTCCACGTTCTCCACTACCACCAGTTTTCTCCTTAGTATAGTAATTAGCACTGATTAAATAAACTTTGACGTTATAATAATTGGTAGATTAATAATAATAATCTTTTTCACCATATTGTCAACTGTGGCAAACATAATACTAGGAAAACTCCTGGTGCTCAAAAACAACATATTTTCTCCTGAATATGCAAAGTATATAAATACAAAACAAGGATATTTTCCTTCTAATTAGTTACATAAACTGAATTCTCATTCACTTTACTGGACACTGCTTTGTGGAGGCTGATACAAGATCACAGAATCTAATATTTAGAGTTGAAAAGGACTTAGATGTCATTTGGTCCAATCCTCTAAGTTTACCGATGAGGAAACAATGAAGTCTCAGAGGGCTAAAATCCACTGCTCAACATAACCCAAATAATAAGTGGCAAAGCCAGGATTTGAACTCAGGTCAGTCCTCTTATATGTATGTGTGTGTGTGTGTGTGTGTGTGTGTGTGTGTGTGTGCGTGCATGCATGCACCCACTGCTTTTTGTTTTTCTCTAGTAATTAGTGAAGTTAAACTAAAAAGTTTCTTTGGTTGCAATAGAACTTAAAAAGGTCATATGAGATGAGGAAAGTTTACTAGCCTCTGTTGTGCAAAACAGGCAAGATCATTAAAAGGAAAATTAAAACATTTTTCAAAAAAAAAGCTGCATTTACATGTGAAAGCCATCTGAGGGCCAAACTTAATTTATGCTTTGTTAAGATATGTAGGCTTTATATGGCTATCTATTACATTATTGAAGCAAATTCTAATAGCAGCTGCCATTTACAATACCTGTGAGATACTCAAACAGTTTATTAAAGTGCTTATTTTCACTAATAGGAAACGGGATTGCTAGCTCTTTTACTAGTACTATTAGAAAGGGAAAATGCATTTTCTCTAGATGAGATTACAGGCTAATTTATCTTTGCAACAGGCATAGGTTTTTTTCTTATTGTTTTAATATATAAAAATAATAGAACTTTTAGAAAAAAAAATTTTTAATATAAAATAAAAGGGTTTAGCAGCAAGAAACAATCTATTATACCTCTACCTATATCTGTTATACCTCTACCAATCTATGTGGCCAGGGGAATTCTCTGAACTGATTGTAACGGAATGATAAATTTTCTACCCCCTCAGTACTGAGCCTGCTCTAATTTATGACTTTTGAGAGTACACACAAACACACATACACACATACTATATATATATATATATATATATATATATATATGCATACACATATATAACAATCCACACACCTGTGTGTATACATATAAACACAAGGGATCTCATGGCTTTTCTTTCTCCTTTTCCCTTGTGCTAATACCACCTTAGTAGCCGTGGGCCCTCCTTTCCAGCAGGAAATATGTGTATATATCTGTATATCTATGTCTATGTCTATCTCTCTAACTATATGTATATCTATATCTATCAGCCATTATCCATATCCATATCAATATCTATACATATATCTATATGAGACTTGATGTCTTCCCGGCTTCATCTCTGAGATTCTTCAAGATAATTCCTTACTTATTTGTATGGCCTGTTTTATAGTTGTTTGTCTCTGCCAGTGTTTTTTAGGATATCACTGAAAACATCTATGGCAATATTTCAGTTCCTTCTACTGTATTCAACACACAACCATTCTCATAGAAATTGTACCATTTTTCCATTGTTTGAGCCCATGGGAAGGAGAAAAACATAATGCAACAGAACTTGGAACATCTTACACAATATAGTTGACATCAGAAACAAGTGAAAATCCTTAAAATCTAAATAAAACAAAACAAGCAAACAAAAACTATGCTTGTTGACCTAGGATTTGGTTGTATCCAAGGAGGATTCCCTAGAAGAAAGGGTTAGGGCCATGGACTGCATTTTTTATTTCATTGATATAGGGAACTCTTAGATGAAGAAACTCCCTCTTACAATGAATGTTAGTAATTTCTCTGTAGTCTACAATCTAAGAGAGTTACCTTGAGCATTGAAAGTTTAAATGATATACTCGGGGACCGGTAATTATGATGTGTCAATGTCAGGATTTGAAGTCAGATCTTCCTGGTTTATTGCCAGCTCCCTATTCATTGCACCACACTGCCTCTGCCTTGAGGCTAACACACTACAATAGAGAGCACAACTCCATTATGATGTGGTCTGTTATGAAAATTCTGAAATCACTTAATAAGAGCAACACACAACACTAAAGGAGGTGTTTGGACAAGGTAATCTAGCTAAGTCCATTTTCAGTTCTAGTTCTCTTTTTCTATAATTTCAGGTACTGGGATTTAAGGAAATTATAGAGATAAGATACCATCCCAAGATAAACGCTTGTAACAAAGTCCATCTCATGGAATATTATCAGAGTTGTCCTTCCTGGTTCTGGCTGACCATGTATACTGACAGCTATTAGATAGTCAGAGATAATGAACTCCTTTATTACGGCTAGCCATGTCTTCAGTGCTTAACGTTGTGGGCACTTTGGAGTGCTGAAGTTTTCCCCTGGATGCTGAACTATTCATGTTTATTACTTCACAGACATTTTCAAAGGGGAGGCAGCTTCTGGCTTGCTTTAATTCTCCCATGTGAGAAGAATGAGGGAACTGAGGATGGCTTGCGTTCTTCTCTTACTCCACTGCTGCTCCCACACAGAGCATGGACTCAGTTAGCTGGTGACTGGGTTTCTTTTCCACTCTGGGTTTCCATTCCTGAGCAAGTGATTGAACATCATTCCCTAGATGGACATATCCAGGCAGACTTAGAAGTGACCTTATGAGTCTGAGAGGTCTGGAGGTGCTGGATTCAGTGAGTGGGGCAGCCTGGAAGTCAGGGAGATAATTGTATGAGGGGAAAATAACCATTGACAAAAGGAAAAGCCAAAATTCTTGGCACTGCTTGCCAGAGGACATGCATACAGAACTTGGGTAAGATGAAAACGCTTAATCATCAGTCCTGAAAACTGCTTCCTGTTTAGATGTTGAAAGATCAGCTTCCTGGGAGACTGCATTGGTAGTTATAAGTTTTTGAATCTTGTTTTAAGTCAATGTGAGCTGTGACATTTGTGACACTTAGTATTTCTTTTGTGTGTAGGAAATAACTACTTGATCTATACCAGATTCCTGAACCTTTTAAAGGTGAAAAATTCACTCTTTGTAAGTACTTTGTAATTACAGAGGTCTATACGCTGATCCTAAGGTTCAGTTATAGTAACATACATTCAGAACTAGAAGAGGCCTTAAAAGGTTATATAGTTCAAGTCCCTCAATTTAAAATGAATAAACTGAGGTGTAGGAAGGATAAATTACTTACCTAAGTTTGTGCAGATAGTACATGGAAGATATAGGAGCAGCTAGTACAGTGGGTAAAGTGTTGGCCTTAAAGTCAGGAGGACCTGAGTTCAAATTTGGCCTCAGGTACTTATTATGTGTGATCCTGGGCAAGGCACTTACCTCTGTTGACCTCCATTTCCTCATCCATAAAATGAGTTGGAGAAGGAAATGGCAAACCATTTCAGTGTCTTTGTCAGGGAAACCCCCAAATGAGAGTCAGACATGACTAATCATCTAAAAACAACAACAAAGTAGAAGATAATAGTATTTAACACAGGTCTTCTGACTCTGGAACAGCTTCGCTTATCACTGAATAACGCTGCCTTCAAATTATTTGGTTTCCATGGGCAATGCTAATGACATCTTTTGAAAGTATTTGGAAGGTAGTTTCATTATATAAAAGAGTATGTGGAACTAAACGATTATCCAAGAAGTCCTGAGCTCTCCTCACACCCATTCTTTAGAATAGTTATGTATCAGTCCGTGAGTCTATTTAATTCAAGCTCTGTATCATGATGATAAAAATAAATAAAAACTAGATTTTGAAAAGAGAAGTAAACCATCTTCACTACAATTTTTTTTTAAGTGAGGCAATTGGGGTTGAGTGACTTGCCCAGAGTCACACAGCTAGGAAGTATTATGTGTCTGAGGCCAGATTTGAACTCAGGTCCTCCTGAATTCAGTGCCGGTGCTCTATCGACTGCACCACCTAGATGCCCCTCTTCACTACTATTTTCAACAAACATTAAGCACCATAAGTAACTAATTGGCATGGTGACAAGCATTCTATAACAAAAACCTCATAGGCAAAATTCTGACTCTCATTGAGAATTCACTATAGGAATTCTGACTTACCTGGAAGCTACTACTATAAGCCCCATCCTAAGAGTATACTATAACTAAGCATCATTTTTTTAGTCAGTGATTGCAAGGAGGAAAAAGATCATTAGAAAATAATTCATTTTCTATTTAGTTTTCTATTTTTTTTTTCTTTTTGGCTAGGCAATGGGGGTTAAGTGACTTGTCCAAGGTCACACAGCTAGTAAGTATCAAGTGTCTGAGGCTAGATTTGAACTCAGATCCTCCTGACTCCAAGGAACTCTATCCACTGCACCACCTAGCTGCCCTCTCAAACTTTTTTAACTTTATTTTTCTTGAGGGTTTTTTTTATTGGTCTATATTTTCTTTCACAACATGACTAATATGGAAATATTTTGCATGATGACACACATATAACCTATAATTGCTTGCCTTCTCAATGGGGGTAAGGGGAAGAAGGGAGAGAATTTGGAACTCAGAGTTTTAAAAATGAATGTTAAAATTGTTTTTACAAGTAAGTAGGGAAAAATAAAATACCAAATACATTTTAAAAAGAATTATCTTTTGCTATTTTTTTTTCTGGTCATTAATGCACTTCCATTTGCAGGGTCACACATTTCATATCAGCTTCCTCTCCAATGAAATTGGCATATATGTATGTGTGTGTGTGTGTGTGTGTATGTGTGTGTACATGCATACACATACATACAGAGAGAGAGAGAGAGAGAGAGAGAGAGAGAGAGAGAGAGAGAGAGAGAGAGAGAGAAAACAGTGATCCTGAGATTTGTGGTGAATATGTGGAGCAAAGTAACATGGGGAAAATGGTTCCATTTTTCTACCTCAGCTAATTTTAAGATTTAGGAGAGAGGAAATAAATTGTCACATGGTATTTGTGATTTAATAAAAAAAGAAAATAGAGTCCAAGGTTATTAATTGAAAGTATAGTGGATATATCTGCTTGCAAGTGTGTATATAACATAGAAAACAACCCAAATTTTATCAGAAAGTTCCCAGAGTCTGCTATTGAAGTAGATAAGGCCCAATTTTAAGCATAAAATAATAAAGAATTGAGGAGCTTCAGAGAAGGGGTAGTCTTATTAAATTTCAGCAGTTTTTAATAAAGAAAACATGACCTATTTGTAAAATTAATTTTCATGAAAAACAACTCTATTCTTAATAGGCCACATGCCTTTCTACTGCCTGTTTTCCACTTAAACCCATAATCTGACATCACAATTATTTCCCAGGGAGAAGATTATGTTTACACACCAAGGATTATTTCAGGGAAGTGATAAACAGCAGGAACAAAATACTATCTTCTACTCTTACTTACCAGGCTCATTTACCAGGGGAAGATGAAGACCAAAAAACTCCAATAAAAGTCAAGGAAGATGTATCAGCAAAATTGTGATGAAGCCCTTATGAGTAGGAAAAAGAAAGAGTCAAGCTCTGGCCCTCTGGCCCATATTAGCCTCTTCAGCTCTGGCCCTCAACATCTTTCATGGAAAAAAAAAATTGTAAATATGAGTCAAAGGTTTTGTGATAATCAATAAATTGATAATAATCTGTTTCTCATATACTGGGACATTCTGACATCCTTTTTCCTGCTCACATAGCATTTTCTATTCCTATAAGTTTATTTTTTTGGCAGTACAAGCATAGATTGTTTTGTACAGAAGAATAGAAATACATACTTAGAGGGGGCACTGATGTTCTCATCTTTTGGTAATCAACGTGCAATTTCTTTTTAAGAAAGAGAGGATCAGGCTCACCTAAGACAGAAAGCTAGTAATGCATCCATTGCTTGGTAATGTTTAAACAAATAATTATAAACCTTATCTGAATTCACCACCTTAAAGTTTTGCAGAGAATTTAAAGTCCAGTCACCTTCCTTGCTCTAAATATTCTATCATTCATTATGTTCATGGTATATAAACATTATTTCAGATTTGATCTAATTTGTGTTTTCATTGTGTTGAATTCTTTTAGACTATATAGATGACCAGAAATTTTCTGCATAATTTTCCCTTGCCTTTTCTCCTCTAATTTATTTTGTTATCAAGAAACCATAATAAAGGTTTATTTTAAACTGAGATTGAATTACTTATCTTCTTCTTTGTACTGCATTTACTCATCATATCAGCTTAAACTTTGGGTTTTGATTTTGGTTAAAGCTATTAAGAATTTTTATATACTTTTTGTTTTCTGGATTCTTTTCTCCATGTTTCTTTTTTAAAATTCCTAATAATACAATATGATGTTTACATTTTTTTTCTTTTTTCTAGCCAATTGGGGTTAAGTGACTTGCCCAGGGTCACACAGCTAGTATGTGTCAAGTGTTTGGTCTGAGGCCGGATTTGAACTCAGGTCCTCCTGACTTCAGGGCCGGTGCTCTATCCACCTAGCTGCCCCTACATTTTCTAATATGTATACCACCTAGACACTAATATAATCTTCCATAATCTTTCTATATATCTTCAATAGTTTTCTAAAACTTCTGCTATATGTTCAATGACCCTCCTTATGAAAATCCCTAGATAGCTTCAGTTCTCCCTTTGGACCGTACCATGGCAGCAGTCAACACATATTTCCTCATGTTCAGCCCCTGAAATGTTTTTATATTCTAGGTCAAATGTATTGATAGACTTTCTTCATGGTTGTAGTTGACATCACATTTTTCTGAATTGTCATATTTTGGTTTAATTGGTCTGTCGAATTCCTTTTTACCAAATTTAAACAAGACTTTTCTAAATTTCAGTTTGAGTGGGTCTATCTCCTTTTCAAAATCATTCATGACACCAACGTTATTGTTGCAATTCTTTTTATTAGATAGAACTTCTGACATCTGCATTACATGTGGATTTTCAGTGCCTTCAGATTCTTCAGCTTTTCTCTCTTCAAAATTTGATAATAGCTCAATTTCCACTTTTTATTTCATCTAAATTAATTTTAA